TTTGTGATCATCGCGTTCAGTGAGCATCATGTGGAGAATCTCATCCACCAAATAGGAAAAATTCCCCATGTTGGTGATATGATAAGGCAACCGATTCGAGAAATGCTACAAAAGCAGAAAATTGCACTCCATCGAGCTCCGGGAACCCATGTCGAACAGGTAGGTAGAGCAAGTCAGAACAAATTCATTTAAGAATTGCTGTTTTCGGAGAAGTCTGACTTTGAGTGTTGATTTGCTGACTACACATAGTGCGTATGCCTCGATTGATTTGGTCTACTTGAATCAGCTGTTTTTATTTGTTTTTTCAGTCAACATCAACACTACAGGCGATTCTTGGTGGTGTGGTAACGCTTATGATATTTGGATTTCTGCTATCGCTGATCAATTCCCTTGCTCAACGCTATCATAAACGTTTATGCGACAAGCGGAAAGTAGCCTAAATAAGTTGCTGATTATATCATTTCATAACTCTATGACCTTTTTCTTCATCATTTATGGGTTGTGAATATAATCCGCACCCGTTTGTTGTTATATGTCGGGTTTTGCTCCCAGATTTCTATGGGAACTTCATGGAGCTTGGCTTTGCACCATCTGCATCCTAATTCATTTATGTAACGGCAAAGGTTGAAGTTTTTTCAACTATCGACCACTTTTTTTCTTATCCGACCATAGGGCTGTTTTACGCATGAAGCAGACCTGGCCAGTCACCCAGGAAAAACGTGTAGGGTAAGGCACCATGGGTAAGTGTCGGTTTGGGAGCAATTTCTACATCGTGAGAGGTTTTAGCTAGGTAGACCTGCGAAAATTAGATAGAATAAAGCTGCTACCCGTTAGGAGGAAGCACTTTCCGGCTTGTCGAATTTCGTTCGTTCGCAGCACTTTCTTTTTATTTTTTGTTTTTTTTTTTGCTCGGCAATGTTTTCTGTTAAATGCATGTGATAGGCCGCCTCGTGTTCGTGATTGCTGACCTTGTATTGCCGTTTCTTGGTGATTTTTTTTTCGAATTTCTTCTCCAAACGTAACCGTTCTCCCGCGACATCACAACTAGGAAGTTCGCAAAAGCGTTAACGACGCAAAGGCGGCCATTCTATTGATGTGATTTAATTTATTCCTAAGGAATTGACTTTTAAGAAGTCTCTTTTTCTGCTCTTTATTTATTAGTCGCCGTGCGACAACATTGTTGTTTTGCTTTTTGTAATGTGTATTGTACTAGAGCGAAACTATTCCTTATTACCGTAACAATAGAGCGACTGTAGTGTTCAGAAGAGGGTCATGTCAGTTACCATTCCAGCAATTTTTCTTTTTTTTTTCATTTTCGTTTGTGGGTATTCCTATATCAATAAGATTTTGCTCGATTTGAAGTTGAATTTCTGGGTTTACGATTCGTTGTGTGGTCGTCGAGGTCGTCACTATCTCTAATGCATACCGCTGCACCTGCTTCGCCCATAGCTACTCTCTCTCTTGTTGTTTTCTTCTTCTACCCTTTCCTCTATCGGCGAATAATAAAAAATTTGTGATTTGCTTGTTCGTTCTAATATTTCAGAACAAGGGATCAAATATTATCTTACCTGGTTCTCTTAGGAATTGCGAAAACTGGCTTGTTTAAAGTCAGTTTTCGCCATACCTAAGAGACAGTTCACAATACTTGAATAAAATAATCGAAGTTATGGTGCAGAATAATGCAAATATGGAGAAGAAAGTACAAAAATTGGCTGATCTCAAGAAATATAAGGTCTTAAGAGAATATGAAGCAGTGGGATTGTACGAGATTGTGTCTGTAATGGTCTGGATCTCCGACCTAAACGTACTATTCGTCGGCGTTCTAAGGCTTCATTGTGAATGGTACAGCCTTAACAAGGCCATCTTTAAACGGCCGCTTTCAGGTGTGTTCTTCGGCTCAGCCGATTTTCGAATCCTTAAAACGCCATGTCGAGGTCCCTCTTCGATTTGATCACGTCCTTCGTGCTATCCTTGGGGGCAGCAGGTTCATACTAGAAGGAAAGCCTAGAAAATATTTTCATCGTGAACTGTGCCTTCAAGGTGGTCGAGATGAAAATGGTAGTGGAAATCTGCTAGGAAATTTTTCGAGAGTGCGCGGTTGAACTCATGGGTGGCTAGCCTACTAACTGTTCCAAATGCCATTGTTTTGATCTCGCGTTCATTTAGTAGTGGACAATGTCTCCGGCAGCTAAAAGTAATTCCGATAGTTCTTATACCCACACTTGATTTAGAATGTAGCCTATAGATGAGCCGGTCTGAGTAGAAAATGGAAGATTGGCAATGAATTTGCTTATTTTGCAGGTATCCCGTCGATTCAGGTGTGGCGAACAGCTAATCTTCTAGCCTACATGCCTTGATAAGAAGTAGTTTCAGTGCTGAGCGAAGGAGTTATGGGATATCCTGGACTCAATTGGTGGCTGTCTACCTTCATTCATTCACCAGTACCTCTACGCTTTCCCAGTAATACTGGAAATATATGGAGTTACTCGCACTGTCTAGCTGAATTTTGTTCCAGCATTTCTTGCGAAACAATTGAATTCTGACGAGGAGTGGAGCATTTCCTCTACAGAAAGTAGAAGTGATGTGATGATCTTCTCAAGTATAGCAACCGTATGGCGGACGAAAACGTAGATGGCACTCCAGTTGAAAAGATGCGCTTGTGGTATGTATGAGTGTCTAGTAGTACTCCATGACGTCTCTTTTGACCGTCACGCCTCCGAATGGACGTGTGTACGCGCCTCCAAGCGGCTAAATATCTCACTGACGTTTGATTTTTTACGGTCATTTTATGGTCGGATGTCGGCTACGAAACAATATGTTTACAAAGTGAACCTATGAACTACCTATTCACAAATCGTACATTACATGAAGCCTCATATCGCGAACTCATGTCACTTTTTAAATTTCTAATTATTGATGGATCTCCATCATTGGCTATGGACGTTCACAGGTGAGGTGTGAGGTGAATAAGTGAGTTAACATGTAATATAAAGCTATAAGGGGAATGTGATAATAATCATCAATATAAGCTTTTCAATAATCAGATGTGATAGGAAGACTCCGAAAAGACCCGAAGTCTCACATCATTAGCGAGTTATGGACACGAGTTCGACCTCGGACGGGGCTGAAACTGGTGCTTGTGCTGTCTGGGGCCGTGCTCTTTATCCCTTACACAACATTCTTTGCCTTAGTCCGGACTGCAGAATAGTAGCACAAGCTTCGGCCTCTGACGGGTTGGAGTCCCGTGCGAGGCCGAAGTTTTTTCCATAACTCGCCAACCTTGTGAGACTTTTGAATCTAGACTCTTCTAAGCCTCCTTACTTGAAGGTAATCTTTTCCATTAATGATGTTGGATGATACGCGATTCATTATTATGAACAGGGCCTGGTGGTTCAGTTCAGAATTTGTTGCCCGATACGATCAAGGGGAGCTAGTGCTACTGAAGCTCATCTAATATGAACTATACTGAACTGAAATCAGTTAAGCCAGTAAAACGTAGTACAAGTACGTAAAAATGAGAAAATAATCAAAATAAACTAACAGTTGGGTGTCGATTGCTCATGTAGCGAACTATCGTCTTCAAGTTTCGCGAGAGCCAATCAGAAGTTTTGAGTTAATTGACGAAAAGAACGGGTAAGCCTATATCTGGACGGAGGTTGTGCAGTGGCAAGTGGAGCACCATCACACACGGAGCACCGGATTGATATTTGCCTGAGCCATCTGGGTCTTCCATTCCTCCAGGGCCGGTGATAGGTACCAGACCCGTTTGGGAGGATAAAAGCACTGAATTGTACATCATGTGACCACCGCAAGTCATTGTATAGGCCACACATGCATTCAATACGCCACTACGATTCTAGATGGAAGTCGACTACAGGGCGAAACCCTTAGGCGAAACTCGGTGCATGCTTGAATTTTTTCAATTTCTTTTTATTAACCCCGCTTTACTGTTCAGGAAATCGAAGAGGTTGAAGAGGACATTCCAACCAAATTCNCAAGATCTTCGTGGCGTGTGGTCGAGCGCTATTCTGCAGAAAATGGACAGGAACTCTTTTCGGTCGCATCAATTCGATGACCTAAGCGAGCTCCTGTATTTGGCTGATGTAGATGGAAGCTGTGACTGTGTGACATTAACTATGCACTTTGTGGTATCGCATTTCCTAGAGGCAGCGCAGCAAATATTACTCGGGTTCTGTCCTGGCTTGCCTGCACGAGTGAATCACCTTCTCTCAGAAGACAAACAACGATCCTTTTGTTATTTCCAAGGGGATCCACCAGTAGCGATTTCTCGATTGAAACACGCATATAATGGAGATCGCCCATCAGTTGGTGCGGAACCCATAGAACAGGAACTTTTCTGTAATGGTGTTCGTGAAGGTGTCGAACGGTCTTGCTCTGGCTCTGCTCTTGTGAGGCTTTGCCAATTTTCTGCTTCTTGCTTCCACTCTCTTCTTCACTTCGCTGGGAAGGTCATCACCAGTAGTAGTTTGCTTTCTGATAAGGATCGCCGTATCCTTGGGCAAGAAAGAGCGGAGAAACGACTAGCGGTCTCAGGAATGGCGGGATTCCCCCCTTCCCACCCACCCCAATCAGCGGAACGAGCGTTTGAGTCAGTCGTCACTCGTGGAAGACGATTGCTTGCAGTTGGTCTCTTGATGATCGCGACATGGTCTGTAAGAGGAGCGCTCGAGGAAACTGAATGTCACTGACGGTTCTGCTGCCTTTGACTCCCAGACTGTGCCGAAATGTAGTGATGGTCCGTGGTCGACAAGAGCGCTTATAGAGAATCGGCGATACACTCAAACTGGTGTCTCATGGCTTTCGCTAATAGAACAACTGGAATAAGAATATACCCATACATGTATATGACCGTGAAAGTCAAGGTTTCCCTGTGAGGGTTTGATTTTCGCATTGGAATAGTCGAACCCAAGAAGATAGACTGTCGAAAACATCGGAGCAATCAGGGCTCCAAACTTACCTTATTTTTTCAAAACGGAGGTTCATGATTGCGTCTGTGTGTCTTCAAAGAGCTATGGCTTTATGTGGCTCGTGTGGCTGTGGTTTTTGATACATCCACCCTTTTCTTTTAAAAATTCACTTGATCGGCAACTCGTTATGCGGACTTAGTTCGTACTCATCAACTGAGCGCCTCAGGCTGTTAGGAATCCGCTCCGAGTACAAATATCCCTCTCTGCTCAGTGCTTTAGTTCAATGACCAAAATGTGTCGTCTCCGAATATATTGGCCCATAACGGCTATTAGTTCATGCTAATAAAAGATAAAAGAAAAATATTCCCAAAAAAGGAATGGGATAGCCCCGTGGCCGTAAGCTCATAGTCCCTGGATCGCATTCTGTCGAGCAGGGAAAGTCCCCTCATGTCTCAAGTGTTCTTCCTGTGAAGCACAAGCTCGGCATGACGGTTGATCACAATTTGATTTCAAGCGAGAGAAAAGCTCGAAACATAATCAAATGACTTGTTGATTCTAGATAGAAGCAATGAGCACGGCTTATCCCGGAAGGTCTCATTGACGTCATAATTTTCATACTTTGTTTCCCTATCTACCGGGAAGAAGAAAAGCTTTGTTCTTATACGGAATTGTGAAGACAGAACAATAAGACTCTGAGTGACCCTGACGTCTGAAATTATAGTTACAGTAATCCCAATTTCTCTTCAGGATTCGCACTATGACGTCTTTGGCGTTATTGTTTCTCCGACTGAATTGTTCATGCTCAAGTGCGTGCTCATGCACATCTAAATCCATGCAATCATTCATCGCCATTGAGGCCATCACGTCGTGGGTGCTTACGATTGAAGAGCCAGGGATTTTTAAGCGCTACCGTAATCTGGGCAAGCCACGCCCATTACGAGTTACGAGTCTCCCCAGGATGGCCCACATTTACATACATGCCTCAGGGCACGCACAACAACACAGCCATGGCTAACAACGACGACGATCTGAGCCAGTTGATTGCCAAGGGTTCGTCAGTTACCTTTACTCATCTTATGTTTATCTAATTTCAATTTTAATCAGGAAACGCTCCCGTGAAAATGATATCATCAGGTTGGCCTAATCCAGTCGTAGCTTTGTAGACTAAAAAAAGCGACCGGGCCTTTGTTGCACCCTTTGGTCCCTTATTCCAACTTCTATGACAGGATAGCCTTCTATACGTAGCTCACCATCGGATAATTCGATCCGTTTACCTTCTCGGACGTTGCTAAGTGTAGCCAATGTTGAAATGCACAGCGCCCCGTTTCCATGCACTAAATTTTTTGAGGGCCCTATTGCAGGGAGCTTGGGCTTCCTCGAATTGATGCTGAAAAGCTTGTGCTCTATACAGTGCTTCAGTATGAGAAGGCTGCATAGGGGCTTTTACACGTCGTAGCAGTAAATGATAAGTAATGATAATGATAGGGGTAGGGTACGATTGCTTACATCGGTTTTCATAGGAATTGGATATCTTCGGTGAGATATCTCTAGGAAGCTTACCTTTACCTTTCCCTCATCTCCTCTGGTTTCCATCTTTCCTGGCGGCCTCCACTTTTTCGGCAACCCCTTCTATGTTGAAATTTTCCCGCGAGCATTGGCCTTTTTAGTTTAGTGAGAGAATACTTTCATAAAAGCGACGTTTACCTCTGCAACATATCAAAAATCAACCTTCTCAATAACATTCAATGCCTTTTTATCAACATTCTTTGATTGAACATTCGATTCCATAGGTCTTTCTCATCCATTGTTCGATGCATATGCCAATTCTTCATCCGGTGCCACACGTGCACGGTCACGGGTTCGAATCCCGGATCCATATCCGCCTAGTCCGAAGAAGCCTTCCACCCCTCGGGGTCGGTTAATTGGACCCAGACTCCTCTGAGAGTATAAAACCACTGATCTGACATCGGCTGGCCACCGCAACTCACCGTATCGGTCATATACGCATCCAACGACTCTACAATTTTGAATCGAAGTCGGGGGCGGGGGCGCAACCCTCAGACTTGATTAGTCAATGCGCAGAAACATCATTGTCATCCTTTACGTATGTATGAGTACACCGTTCGAAAAATATTGTAAAAAAGGTCGACTATAATACCATGGTCTACGAGATGTTCTTGAGGCACATATCAGGGCAAAGTTACTTTTGAGGACTAGGATGTGGTAAGCTAATATGTGGGGCTGCCGCGGCAGAATACGGACCACACAGGGGGCAATGAGGACTCAAAGATAGCCCAATTCCACAACCACTGTGAAAAACGTCTACTGGAGGGGTGTATCAGAAGGGTGTCAAGGAGTTCTCCCGGTGGATGCCTGAGCCCTCCCACGAGTACAGTTCATTTAGGATTTTCGGAACCGGTTGTCATATGTTTCGGAGCCTGTGCCTCCAACCTGAACAGGAAGGGCGTCATGTGAATCGTTCATTTTTATTTATTTACGTCTTCGGATAATTGCGTCAACAACGAAATGTACCGTCAATTACACCATTTGAGGAATTGAAATTGTGACTCATATAATTTGGAACGCATGATGCATTCATAGGTCTCCATCCGGAGTTATAGGACGACTGTATGGTTAACTGGCATATACTGTATAATGGTGTGTTTGTGAGGGTAGATTGACACACAAATAAGACCTGTGTAGGAAGGAAAGAGTTGTTGATTTGAGCAGAGCTAAATTTGGCCCACGGCACTTACCTGTGGTGGCAGAAACTCCCACGTGTGCTCCCCCATCTATTTTTGCTACTTGCTACATTGGAATAACTGATAAAATGATGCTCATTTAGACATTCTACCGCAAACACCGAACTGGAAAGGGACGGAGAAGTTTCTACTCAGTGTAGTGCAGGTAAAAGAGCAGGACTTCTGCTGAGCCGATTAACTCATCATTGCTATTAATCGATATGTATCTTTTTTACAGGTCCTATTGAAATATATTCGTGAAGAGAATGTTCGCGAAAATAAAATTCTCGAATTTCATCATCCAGCCGAAATGCTACAGCTCATCGATCTTGACATCCCCGAGCAACCACAGAAGTTGGATACCCTCGTGAAGGTAAATTGGCTTTTCAAAGAANAAATCGAAGAGGTTGAAGAGGACATTCCAACCAAATTCCTGCAACCTCGACTGCAAGATCTTCGTGGCGTGTGGTCGAGCGCTATTCTGCA